GTGATTTGTACAGGATAGATTTTGTTCCTTAGATGTGGTAGATGGTAAACAGTAAGCACATGATGCTGTAGAGTGGATCTTGAATGCCCCCCAGACACCCATCTGTGGTACTGTTAGGAGGGGGTAAAGCTCCGATGAGGTGGGGCCAAGTAGGAGGCAGTTAGGTCACTGAATGCATGCCTTTGAAAGGAATATTTGACCCCGGCCATCTCCTGTTTCCGTCTCTTGCTGATCAACCTCCACAAGACAAACAGATCTCCTCTTCTGTGTGCTCCCAACCATGATGTATAAGGCCACTGTAGGACCAAAACAACACATCCAAATGACCATGAATGGGAATTTCTAAAGCAATGAGCTAAAGTGTATCTTTCTTCTTTGAAGTCGATAATCTCAGGCGTTTTGTCACAGTACTGGAAAATTGACTAGCAAACATGACTTTGGAATCAGACAAAAAAAAAAATGTGTAGTTTCCAGTTCTTCCACGTATGCCAGAGTCAGTTAATACAGCATGCAAATACTTCCCACGTTACAGTGTGTAGTGGGGCATTAAAGGACTAGGTTAGGTGTGATAATTGACCCTCATTGTCAGCTTGCCTGGACTTGCAATAATCTAGGAGACATAACTCTGAGAGTATCTGTGGGGGCAGTTCTAGACATTTTTAACTGAGGTAGAAGACTAACCCTGAATGTGGGTGGCTCCATCCCAGGGGTGGGCCATGGGCGGGCTTAACAAGAGACATAAAGGAAAAGGTAAACGGAGCCCCAGCACTTATCTCGCTCTGCTTCCTGACTGTGGATGCAATGTAAGCTGCTTCCTGCTTCCTACTTCCTGCCATGAGCCAAAATAAATCTTTCTTTTGTTAAGTTACTTTTGTCAGATATTTATTTGTATTGTATGTGTATGAGTGTTTTGATTGCATGTATGTATGTGTACCGCATTCATGCAATGCCCTCAGAGGCTAGAAGATGGTGTTGAAGTCTCTGGAACTGTAAGGATGATTTTGAGTTGCCATGTGGGTACTAGGAACTGACCCTGGGTCTTCTGCAATGGCAGTCAGTGCTCTGATCTGCTGAGACATCTCTCCAGCCCCTTTGTCAGGCATACCATAAGAAAAGCACCTACTACAGTGAGTGACACCAGCTAGTGTGCCCCTGCCCCAGTGTGTGCTTGGAAACTATGACCAGGCTCCTCTGTGCCAGGGACCATCTGCTGCCTCTTTGAGTTCAGTTGCTTCATTTCCATCTTGAAATGACTTTGAAAGCTTTCACTTTTTAGAACCTAGCAGAATGTCATCAGTGTCAACAACCCATTTATATTTCGTGTATTTGATTTTTTTTGAAACCCAATTCTCCATGAAGACAGGGGACAGGTCTGAGTTAATATTTATTCAGCAATATTAGATGTCTTGTGTATTAATCTAGAGGAGATGAAAAATAATTTCCTCTGTATCTGTATCATAGGTCTTCACTTAGACTTCTTGCAACGACAGACCCGAGTAACAAGAGAAACAAGTTTAAGAACATGTAAACATTCTGTGTACAGGGAGCTAGCCCAGAGAAATGGGCAAAGCTCTAGAGAAGATCTCAGTAGTCACTTTGTAGCTTACGCTCCTGTACCACCCTTTGCTGAGCCAAAAAGGAAGAGATTGGGGAAAGACTTGGTTCAGAATAGATGATAGGGCAAGGCCTGTGGATGCAGACCAAGGTTTGGTGCAGAGATGGTGTTCTAATTGCCTTTCTGTTACTGTGATAAAACAAACATTGACCAAAAAAAAAAAAAAAAAAAACTTAGAGGAGGAAAGGCTTTACTTGGTATGGTGGTTTGAATGAGTTCCCCATAGGCCCCAAGTATTCAAATCCTTTGTCCCAGTTGGTGGCGCTGTTCATGGAGGTTTAGGAGGTGCAGCCTTGCTAGAGGAAGCACATCACTGGGGATGGGCTTTGAGAATTCTTAAGACTTGCCAGATTTCCAGTCTTGCTCTCTGTTTTCTGTACATGCTTGAAGATGTGAACTCTAGTTTTCTGCTCCATCTGCCTCCTGCCATGCCTCTCCTCCATGATGGACTCTTATCTCTTGGGAATAAACACAACAAACTCTTTCTTCCATAAGTTGCCTTGATCGTGGTGTTTTAGCAGCAGAAAAGAAAATAATACACTTGGCTGCCACTTCCAGGTCACAGTCCATCACTGAGGGACATCAGGACAGGAACTCAAGCAGGAACTTGAAGCAGAAACCATGGAGGATGCCGGTTGCCGGCTCATGCTTAGCCAGTTTTCTTATAAGGCACAGGATCACCGGCCTAGGAAATGGTACTGCCCACAGTTGGCTGACTCCTCCTACTCTCCCACATCATTTAATGATTAAGACAATCCCTTTCATAGACATGTCCACGGGTCAGTCTGAGCTAGGCATTTCTTAATGGAGGCTTTCCTCTCAGATAACTCT